GTGACATAGACGAACAAGTGTGTTGAACAAGTTCGTTGGAGTTGGCTTACAATCATAATCTGTATTTTTTCGAATTTAAAATTTTTTTTTGTGATTTTGACCCATAAATTGAAAACTGTTGGGGTTTATAACTGATTTGTATATTGTGTCAAATTTAAATAAGGTTTTTTCAAAAATAAATATTCAACGAAATAAATTTATTTTCGAAGGTTCATTAAGTCAACTATTATTATTTTTAATGGTTTAAGTTGTTTGATGAGGTTTGCAAATAATTCAATTTAAAATTTAAAGCTGGACTAAATAATTATTAACAACAATGGAACCTTCCGAATTGACTCCAAACTTTGAGTACATAAGATATCTCGATGGGTATGAAAAGATGATGTACACTTTTATTGTGATACTTCGTGGTGAGTTTGAACTAACTTCAGAAATACCAAATGTAGAAGAATATTTAAAAAAGAAACTTCCTCCTCTTTTCAATGAATTTGATATTACCAGACTCTCTGTTTGCACATTGAAAGGCAAACCATGTTTTGTCAAATCAACACTTCCCCCACTTATCAAAACCGTTCCATTTGATTTACTCGGCGATTACTCGTGCAACCAAAAAGTTGTGACGGTGAAAGCACCTCTCGAATTATTCAAAGAATGGAAGAGTGGGATGCCCCTTCCAATGGTTTTTGTCTCATCATTCAATTCTGTGATTCGTCTTCATATATGTTGTTCCCACAGTCTTTCTGATGGTAGAACAATTGAAGGGCTTTATCGGATTGTTGCACATTTATTAGACGGAAACATACCTCTTCCAATTAACTCCAAACAAGCAGATTTTGGCCAACAAAATTTGTTCCCCAAATTAACAAAGAGTGAAGCAACGACAATATTCCCTTTGGTTCTTGCTCTTCCTAAATCCCCACGAATTAATCCACCGGAAGAAAACATTGTTTTTTCTGATGTTTCTGATTATCTTCAATATTCATACGCAGAGATAAGTGCATTTTGTAAAGTGCACAAGGTGGGAGTGCAGGCAATAATGATGTGTGCTTATCAAAGGGGAATGAGAAAACATTTCAATGTTAAAAACGAAGTTCCTTTAGTTGGACACATTCCTGTAGATTCCCGAACAAGTTTATATGTTTCAGAAGAAATGAAACAAAGAGAACTTTTTTGTGGAAGCGCTGCTCTCTTTCCAATTTTAACATCCAAAGATGATTTTATTGAAGAAATAACTGAGTGTAACAATTCAATTAGAGAAACACGACAAAGTAATGAAAGTGCCATTTTTGTTACCTATTTAGGAAGCCGAGTCAATGCAGATAATGGAAATGATAATACAACCCAATTAGATTTTTCGACTGATATGCCATATGTCGGGGTGTCAAATATTGGGTGTTATAGATATGTTAAAAGACCGCGAGTGTGTTGTGTTAGTGAGTCAAAGAAACTTTTAACTACAATCATTTACGGATATAAAGAAGAGTCCATTTTAAATGTCTATTGGAAACGTTCAGAACCGATGCCGCAAAATATGCTTGATACAATCATTGAGCAATTTGACGATATATTCACAAAAATTGGATCAAAAAGAGTTTAAAAAATCAATCGATTATTTAATATTTTTTAATTTTAAAAATTGAATCTTAGAACATCCACAATTAAATTATCGTTGTATTATTTTCAAACATGGATTTCATATAAAATCCATCAAAATCAAATCAATGTTACAAGCCTTTTTGTATTTTATTTTTGAAAGTCAGGATGTTTTAAATGGTGTTTGTTATTGATCGTTTTACAACTATATAATCATTATTTTTGTCAATTTTAATTCTGCTTTATTTTAATTGACAATAATATAAAAATATTTTAAAGAAAACATCTGTATTAAATACAGGTAACTGTTATATGTTATTCTCATTATCACCAATTAATAACCATAAACCTTTTATTAAATTGTTAAAAGGAATAGTAAACAAATCTTAAGCAACAACTTTTTATATCACAAATTGTTGTTTTTGCAATTCAATAATACAACACCAGTTATTTAGTTTTGAGCATTTAAATTTTAAGTTGTTTGAAAATTTAAAATTATTTTATTTCACCCCATTTGCTTGTTTTTAAATTATCTAGAATAATAAAAAAAATTAAATTAAATTGTAAGTTCATATAATATTGGGTCTTGTTTTTAACACACATTAATTAAAATATAAAAAACAAAAACTTTATTTGTATTATTAATCGTAATAAAATTATTATAATTTATAGTAAAAAATAAATGTCGTTTATTTAAAAAAACATTAATTACATTCATCACGAAAAACATGAAAATACTTTATAGTCATTTTTTCAAAGTTATCAAGTGGGGAAAACGGCTTTAAATTTGTTTAAACTATGGGAATTTAGAAAAAAAATATTATTGATTGAAAAGTTTTATTATTTTAATCTTTAAAATTTAATTTTATTTTTGTGTAAATTTATTTAATTACAAACAATAAAAACAATGGAAAAGCGAAAAAAAAATAAAATTTGGTTTAAATATTATATTTTGAACTTAATATTATAATATAAAACCATATAATGACGTTGTTTATTGGATTTCTTGTTGTTGTTTTGACTGGTGGATATCAATGCGACTGCACACAAATCAACTCCAGCATTAATAATGGATTCAACCCTGTAAAATGTTTATTATTTCCCAACACATATTCGTACTGTTTTAACAATAATTTTAATTTTGATAATTACTTTAACACTTTTGAAGATGTTTATATTCTTCAAAACATGGAATTTACAAATATTGGCTTTTATAATTGGCAAAATATTAATACAACAACACTCTTTGAAAACGTCAGTTTAGCCATTTCAAGTCCTTTACACTTCAACAAAACTCTAAATATAGAGAGTGGTGCTGTCATCAATGTTATTAACAATAAACCAATATTTGGTTTATTTTCTGAAGCGGGAAATCTCAATCTTACAAATCCGGAACTGAACAAGCCAAGAATTATATCGTGGAACTCGACTTATATTCACCTCCACAGACACTATAATGGAAGACTAGATTTCCAAATATTAAATCCAATAAGTGGTGCAAAGTGTTTTGATGTGTTTTCCCTCAACAATCAAAGCAATCTGGATATTGGTACAAGACCTGATCATATTTCTTCTGCGATGTTTGAGTATTCATACAACTTCACAGATGGGAAGGGGTATTTGATATCAAATAAAAAGTTGATTCGATTCTGTCCAAATGGGACACAACTTGACACAAATGTCATCTGCACTTTGAAAAAAGAAATGTACACCAATGACAGCCCAACAACAATGGAAGGTGCTTTTGACTATCCACACTGTCCTTGTAATTCAGACTCCACTGTTAACTGCAAGTTAAAGTTTTCAGAAATGTTTGATTTGTATAATATGTACAATTTTGATATTTCAAATACGGAATTGCTTGTTAATCGAGATATTAAAGTAACAAATCTTAAAAGAGTGAAACAATTGACAATTAATAATGACACCAAACTCGATATTTCTGCGCACTTTGACAATACAATCTTTTCATTTTCATTTGGAGTGTTGACAAATGGGGTGTATGAAGATAAATATATTACTGATGCATCGTTACAATATCACACGTCTTCCAGTACATTGGAGTGCATAGGAAACTTTAACTACAGCATCTCTCTCGTTAAAGAAATTCGATACTTCCAAATAGAATGTCCAAGTACTATTGAAGTTCTGAATTTGTATGAAAAAACAAGTGTTGTGATTTTGCAAAACACTTCTTTGTATCAAATAAACAAAATTCAATTTGGTCTATATGGTACAAGTTACACAGTGATGGATAATCCATCAAATAATAAAATACACAAAGGATGTATTCTCATTGAATTAACAAAAGATAAAACAATTTGTTTGTTGTGTGGTGAAAATTATCAACTCCTTGAAGGGGAATGTCTTCCTATTGATGAGAAATGTCAAATTTGGAATTTGAATGGCATTTGTACGATGTGTGTAAACAATTATGTTTTGGATGATGATCACGAATGTATATCTTCAGATAACTGTTCAATTGGAACAACCACAGAGTGTTACAAATGCCGAAACAATTATATTCGGAACAACAACAATTGTTATAAAGAAAATAAGTGTGTTCTATCCAATGAATATCTGTGTTTACATTGTAGTGCAGGAAACACAGAAGCAAATTGTGAGAAGTGTGTTGACATAAATTGTCAGCTCTGTGAATCAGAAAAATGTATTTTGTGTAACATGGGATTTGTAATCAACTCTGTTGGAATATGTGAAATACAACACAACGGGTTGACTGTTGGAGTTTCGACTATTTGGTGTAATGGCACTTTTTACATTGAAAATGAAAGTTGTAACAGTTGTTCATTGAAATACGAACACTCTCATTTATGTGATAAAACACATGTTGTCTCGTGTCAACCAAATTACAAACAAAATGATTACGGACTTTGCATAGCAATAATGTGTACAAATACAACAACGATAGACCAAAACGGACTCTGCCAAACAGATATAAACAGTTGTGTGTTCATCGTGAACAATAAATGTGTTGAATGTGAAAATACCTCTATTCTTAATAATAACAAAAGTTGTGCTGAAACATCACATAATAATAATTCAACAAATTGTATCTCATTTAACAAAAATGGGTGCATTTCATGTGCAATTGGGTATTACCTGTCAAATACAGAATGTAATTTATGTTCAGAGAATTGCACCAGTTGTGTAGAGAGTGACACGAAGTGTCTTTCGTGCAAGTCTGGATTTTATCAAGGAGAGAATTACTCGTGTTTGCCAAGCACAGACTTGTTGAGTAAATGCAACAAAATATCAACAATTACAAATGGGTGTTATCAATGCAAAGACGGGTATTACAGAGTTGGTCTGAATTGCTTTGAGTGTCTATTGAATTGTTCAACATGCAACACAAAAGATAAATGTTTGACTTGTAATTCGACAAATTACAAGACGTTGAGTGGAAATTGTTTGCCACAGAACAGTGTTGTTGGGTGTGCTGTTAAAGTCACACAATATGGGTGCGACAAGTGTATAGATGGGTATTACAAAGTTAATTACAATGAGTGTGAAAGGTGTCATGACAACTGCACAATATGCACACAACCCGAAAAATGCACATCATGTTTTGAAAATATGGTATTATATGAAAATGGACTTTGCTATGACATTTCATTTGTATCAAATTGTGTTGCTGTCTCAAACTCAAAATGCTCCAGATGCACATTCTGGCACTCGACAAATGGAAATGGCACACTTTGTGACAAGAAGGCGGTCTGGTGGGTACTTCTCATAGTAGTGTTGTTTGCAATTATTGTGATGGCAGTTGTGATAACATCAATTGTATTTGTTGTGTATTTTATTGAGAAGAAAATCCGACAAAAGAAGATTGAAATGACAGCAACACTTTTCAAAATGAGTCGCTCCAACATCACATTTGTATCGCTTGATGATGATGTTGTAGTCAATAAAACAGAAATATCATTTGGTCAGGACGTTGATGTCAACGCACAACAACGAGAACTTCTGTGTGTTGGCAACACATCAAAACACAATATGAAAATCCAAATCACAACAAAAGGTGCAACAATTGAGAAATATGTATTTGAGTCAAATCCGAAGATAGTAATGTTGCCAAGTGGCGAGGCGTGTGAGTTTGAGATATTACTGACTTTGAAATGCACAACTAGAATGGATGAGAGTGTTGTGTTAGTTACAAACTCATTCACAAAAAGAAACCCCAATTTAAAAGAAATTAAAATTACAGCAACTCAAAATGACAACA